GCTCTCGGCTCAGTTTTGCTGCGAACCTAAAACTGCTCTAAATAGCAGAGTCTATTTAAAAATCATCCAGTGAGTTCATCTGTTCCATTGGAAAATATTCGCTTAATCGGAGCGGCCCGCGCAGGAGGCGTAAAGGAACAGAGACGGGGGTGGAAGGCACCTCCAGGCCCAGCCGGGTCCGGGACGCGCAGGGGTTTTCCCCGGCTCGGAGTTCTCACCCCGCAGGGCTCGCTGATCTGGAAGAGATGGAGTCAGAGGGAGGGACTCGGGGCCTGGAGCTTCCGGGTACAAATTCTTCGGCTGGAAGCTCCCACGTTTGACTTGGAAGGACAAGATTGTTTCACTCTTATTACGCTGGCATATTTTATCTTTCGGAGCTGAACTGATTAGCAGGATATTTTTAGTACATCTGGTAATTGGTTTGCTACGTCAGATCCTACCTGGGAAGGGCAGGGCGTGCCGGCAGGCAGGACGGCAGGAAAACGTACCCCAGTGGTTCATGGGGGACACGTTATTTACCACATAACACACCTGGAAACGGGGGAGACCCGCTAGTTGCCCTGTTGCAGCCCCACACCCTGGGGAGAGGACACCTGGGGAGACTTCGGTCGGCGTGACCCACAGCACAAGCCACGCGGACACGCCCGCTCCAGCCAGGGTCCCCCGGCATCTGACCCAAAGGCGAGAAGGCTCAAGGCAGCGAAGGAAAGGAAACAGGAAAGAAGCTTCACTCTTTCGCAGATTACTCGGGATTCGCCCTAAATGCTATCCGCCTTTGAGCAATTAACTCGATCTCTCTGAAACGGCATCCAACAGGCATCCTGAAGTGAGACGAAAACGCACTAAGGATGCTCCGGAAATCACACTGCTGCTCAGTTTAAACCCAGACAGTGGCTGTCACTTGAGCTACAGTCTCTACGTTTTCCGATAAAAAGTCAGAATAAATCTTCAGTAACGTCGAGAGGTATCGCGTCTAATGCTTCTCTTTGAGATTCCAGTTTGTCAGCTCCATAAAAAAAGCCGGGTTAGGCTGACAAGGCTTATCCTTCACCCTGGGGTGTTTGTTTATGGAAGTTGTAGAATTTCAGGGCCGAGAGGGGCTTTGAAGATCATCGGGTGAAACGGCCCCTCCTCCGTAAATGGTTTTTAAAACTGTATAAATGTAAGCACCATATATTCATGTCGGGTAAAATGACATTACTTTCGACTTAGCCGATATAATTGCAGGTCGTCCGGGGCAATAGAGGGCTTCAGCCATTATTTTCAAAGGCATTTTCTGAAGGGAACCTGAAGCCGGGTCCGTCTACAGAACCGTGTGTCGCCGGCACCTTCCTGTTCGATGTGAAATGTAGATGTGTTTGATGGGCGTTTTAGACCGAGACGCGCCCATCATTTCCAATCAAATACACTAACTAGTCCCCTTTTCCGAATCTTGTATCCCTCTGGCTCACATAATTAAAAACATCTCTGATGATCATTTCTTTCCCCCTTTACTCATCTCAGAACTGTTAACTCCTGACATGCTCGCAAGGCTGACATGCTATTTTGTTTTATATGAAAGAGCCCTGAAAATGAGTCATGAACCGAGGTTCAACATTGCTGACACAAATTGGGGAAAACAGAATTAATCCAAAACACCCACATTTTAAAAAACTGTCCAACAAACACGCTGAATTCCAAAATGCCCAATTCCCAGGGTTTTACCGTTTACCACCTGCCTTCTCTACGTGCCGCTGGCCAAAAAAATAAAAATAAATAAGATGTCATTTCTACCTCGCCAGGGAAAATGTTTTAGGAACAAAATGCAACGTGACTAACACCCCATTTTTATGAGCAAAAGAAAAAGGCGTATTTGGCCACACGTGGGCCAAGACACCGTATTTCAAAAAAAAATGATAAAACGTAAACGCCGGCCCCGGAATGAAATTTGGAACAAGCCCGGAAGAGGGTTGAGCGCCTCACCCAGCCGAACAGGTCCACTGGGGAAGCTCAGTTTCTGAAGCGGAAACGTCCTCGGGTGGCATTTGCCGTCTCCTAATCAAAGCTGCCCGCGGGCGGTGCCACCGCTGGAGGCTCACAGGGCGACTCGGGCAGCCGGGGCCTCCGCCACCTGCCCGACTGCAGCGGCCGTGGGGCCAGCATGGTCTCTGCTGTGATGTGGGAATGGGTGCCCCATGCGGACCTCGGGGCCTCTGCCCGCTGTTGGCGGCTGGCTCCCACGGGCGACGGCGAGTCCTCACTGAAGGGGGCCCGGGCTCCAACCGCCTGCCGCGGCTCCCCGGGTGCCGGTGTCTCAGTCCGATAACAGGCGGGGCAGCTTCAGCAGCTCTTCCTCGCCGTTTGGGAGGCAGGGGAGCCACGGTCGAGGTGCCTGCTGACCCGGCGCCGGTGGGAGCCCAGGTGCCGGTTTGCCGACAGCCGCCCGACGGCTGGGTCCTCACGCGGCCGAGAGAGGGAGAGAGCCCCTCGCGGGTCTCTTCTTACCAGGGCACGAGTCCCACTCGTGGGGCTCCACTTTCAGGGCTCGATTCCCTCCCGCGGGTCTCACCTCCAAAGAGCATCCCGCTGGGGATAAGGGCGCCACGTCTGCGATCGGGGACAAAAACCGTCTCCGGCGCTTGGCGTCTCTTAGCTGGTGGGCTCCCTCCCAGGTGGAAGAATTGCGCAGGAGGACCCAACGCCCCCTGCGCTGTTTGTGACAGTGTGACCCCGGACAGGCACCTGGAACCGCCAGGCCATGCGGGGCACCGGGAATGTGGGCGGCGCCACCTGCTGCCACCCGACCTCAGCCTCGCCCCTTCTCCAGGCTGCGCTCCCCCCGACGGTGACCGGCACAGGCCGAGACGCTCACTGGCTGCGTCCCATCCAGCTGCGGCGGGGAAGCAGGGCCCTGGCCTCTCCTTTTTAGTCTGGGCCCCACACTGGCCGCCAGGCGGGGCGAGGGCAGGCACGTTGGGGGGACAGCGGGACGTGCCCGCGAGGTCCGGGGCACAGAACGGTTTCCAATGGAAAACAGGCGGCAGCCTGAAGGTCCGATTCAGGGGTAACGTTAAACAGATCAGACGGACACGCCTGTGAAGAAACAGTGTATGAAACGATGAAAAATTCCAAATTCTAATAGCACAAGATTATGTAAAAAAAAAGTTACAAAATTTCATGAAACTCACCGTGACCCGGAGGGAATTTCTTCCATTTAACGAGCAGAACAAGCTCACAGATGGATAAAGTCGGCCACTCCTCGTAGTACGGACACTTGCGAATTAATTTCACTATTTGCTTATTTTCAAATTTTGCTTTTTCCTGGAAAGAAGTCATTATTAAATTTTTGTATCGGGTAACTTGAAAAGAAGAAAAAAGNATTATTAAATTTTTGTATCGGGTAATTTGAAAAGAAGAAAAAAGGGTAGCTGAGGAATGTCAGCGGAAGAAAAGTCAAGGTTCCGTGATCTGGATTTTTATAGGAGCATCGTCCTAAGACCACGTGGCCGAACTGGAAGTTTCAGCTTCAGGTCTGCCACTAAAGTTTTATATTCCCACCTTTCATAACGTTTTTAGAAGCTGTAAGTGTTTTAGCACTTTTTNTGTTTTTAGAAGCTGTAAGTGTTTTAGCATTTTTAAAAAAACTGTCCACCCGGCCGGTGTGGCCCAATGGTCTGGGCGCCGTCCTGGGCACTGAGAGGACCCCGCCCGACTCCCAGGCAGCGCACAGGCCCGGGCTGCAGGCTCCGTCCCCAGCCGGGGGGCCTGCAGGACGCAGACCACTCACGTTTCTCTCTCCCTCCCCCTTCCTCTCTCTCTGGAATCAAACCAATATAAAAACAAAACATATAAAATTAAAATAAAAAACGGTCACAGTCAAGACTAAACTCAAAAGTTGTTTTCAATATTATCAAATAAGTAATACTGAAATTTTGAAAATAAAAACCCACGTTTGCGGCACCCTGTATGTCCCTAACGACCTCTCTTTTTCCGCTTCAATCGCCCATCACTATGGGAGGCTTAAGTGATGGTCGTAAAATAAACTATATTCGTATGTTGTCCAGGTCAAGTCAAATTAAAAATAAGAGAGATACGGGCATCTGTCCAGAGAGGCAAATTTACAGCCAATTGTGTTAATATTTGGGTTAGATTTGATCGTACCGATTTCAACTTTGCATAATTGATTGCAGGGATCTTCAGAATCTCACAGTCTTCTTCTGTCACCACCGAGTACACCTGTGGATCCGCCTGAACCTGGGCTGTAACTTCCAGGGTTCCAAAGGTGCTCCACGGTCCAAGCTGTACGAAAACAACAGAGGCAACTTAAACTCCGTGCCACCGGCCGACACAGACACCCCGGCGACGATGACGACGGGCGGTCTCGGAAGGCCTGAGTCTGTGCGGGAAGGGGGCCCCACAGCCGGGCGTGGGCGTCATACAACTTCCGCCCAATGTCACTTCCCCGAAGCAAGAAAAAATGTCCATTGTTTTCACTACGTGAAGAAGATAACTTAGGACGTTATTCTGTGTTTTTGCTAAAATTAAGCTTTTGAAATACAACCGTTAACGTAACCCATTCACTTTTCATTGCTGTGTGACTAGACCCAGACTATGTGCTTGTTCTTTCATGTGTTGGTTTGGTTTTTGTTAATCCTCANTGTTGGTTTGGCTTTTGTTAATCCTCAATGGAGGATATTTTTTCCATTGGTTTTTAGAGAGAGTGGAGGGAGGGAGGTGGGGGGTGAGAGAGAGAGAGAGACCGNATATTTTTTCCATTGGTTTTTAGAGAGAGTGGAGGGAGGGAGGTGGGGGGAGAGAGAGAGAGAGAGAGAGACCAACTGGTTGCCTCCCACAGGTGCCCCAGGGCCGGGGTTGGAACCTGCAGCCCAGGTATGTGCCCTTGACCTATGCGTTTTCAACTTTACGATGGTGCAAAAGCAATTACACATCCCGTGGAGACTGTACTTAGAATTTTGATCTTTTTCGGGATGGTGTTACCTGGTATAACACGTGTCTCTGGGCAGCACCAGAGAGATGATTTTGCCCAAGTGGAGGCTAATGTAGGTGTTCTGAGCACGTTTAAGGTAGGCAGGGCTCAGCTGGGATGTCCTGCAGGTGTATTAAATCCATTTTCAACTTTTGATGGGTTTATGGGGACATAATCCCATCATAATTCAAGGAGTATCTGTATAAACATTATTTGCCTTTGAAGAAAGACAGTCAAGGTTGAGTTCACTATATACCATTATGGTTCCTTTTAAAAAATATATGTTTTTATTGATTTCAGAGAGAGGGAGGGAGAGGGAGAGAGAGAAACCTCAGTGATGAGTCACCAGTGGGCTGCCTCCTGCTCGCCCCCGACTGGGGTTCAAGCTCACAGCTGGGGCATGTGCCCCGACTGGGAATTGAGCTGTGACCTCCTGGTCTACGCTCAACCGCTGAGCCTCGCCGGCTGTGCGGCCACCATGGTTCTGATGACACATTTCAGGTGATATCATGCTATGAACACACATAAAAGGGGCCCCTAACCAGAGCACTGAGCTGAAACCGGCGGCCGCGTTTCCAGCCGTGCCGGGTGCACTTGTCCTCTCCAAGGCCAAGACAGTCTCACTTATCTCAACAAACACTTAGGTGTTCAGAACTGTCTGCGGAACTGACTCGACCTTAAGGAAAAGTCGAATATGCAGGCACTTGTCAGAGCAGGCGAGGACCTCTTAAAGGACTGTAAAATTTTAGATGCCAAATGGTAAATGTTACGACGACCTAACTCCACCGGGAGAACCGCACTGAGCGTGCGTCTCCCTGCCTTCCACCTGGGCGTGCGTGAGTGGGGTCCTTAAAGCCCAGGAAGAAAATAAAAGAATTAAATCTGCCACGAAAGAGCAGGGCTCTATCCTGGGACTCAGTCAGAATGTTTTAGCCATTCTGATCCTAGGAGGCTGTTTTATGTTTTAATAACAGAGTAAAAACATAACGTTCAGCCATCCTGTATACTGTGTTTAATAAAGAACTTGTCAGGGACAAAGCATAATTCTTGAACCATACCTAAGTGATTTTTTTGATTTTTTTTTTTTTTGCCGTCAGCACAAACTTCAGACCTGTGTCCCCAGTGGCAGCAACTGACCTATGAGGACATNTTTTTTTTTTTTTTTGCCGTCAGCACAAACTTCAGACCTGTATCCCCAGTGGCAGCAACTGACCTATGAGGACATGCCAGCCGCCGAGGAAACGCCGGTCGTGGTCGCGCCGAGTCCCGCAGAGCAAGAAGAAGGTGCTCCGTCTCCCTAGTATCTCTATACTCAGATACATCANACAAACTTCAGACCTGTATCCCCAGTGGCAGCAACTGACCTATGAGGACACGCCAGCCGCCGAGGAAACGCCGGTCGTGGTCGCGCCGAGTCCCGCAGAGCAAGAAGAAGGTGCTCGGTCTCCCTAGTATCTCTATACTCAGATACGTAGCAAATAACTGGGGGCTTAATTTCAATTATTTCCATGGAGAAAAAGCGGCCTAGTAAGAAAGCACCATTACAAAGAACCTGGGACGGAGAGAGATGTCCAAGTACATTTGAATAAAGCGCTGAGGCTGTTTGTTGCCTCAACAAGTAGACGGATAAAAAACTCCCAGAGAGGACGAGGCGATGGCCGGGGAACGTCTAGCGAGACCGAAAACCGACTTCAAAGGAATTATTGCTCCATGTTTTCATGAGATGTCAAGAATCTCAGAAGAGCACTTGAAAGATGTATGGTGCTAGTGGAGAAAAAATTTGCTACGCTGAACCAAATAAAAATCACTTTTGTTGTTATTTTTTCCTCAAAATTACTGATGTTTAGACATAAAAAGACAACGTAGGTCCTCAAAACTCTGGGCTCAAAGAGCGCAAGAAGGGATGGGCGTGCTCAAGAGGAAGTTAAGGATCAGGGAACCCTGCCGTGGCGGACACCCTACCCATCTGCACGGGACACGGGTTCACCCCACGCGGCTCCACGCGGCTCCACGCGGCTCCACGGCCGGCCAGCGGCAGGGCCATCAGGATCCTAAGATTCAAAACCCCAAAGCACGTGGCTGTCCAGTAATTGTTTTTTTTCACGTGGACAAGAGTATAGTTCTCTTAATTTTAAATTATGTGTTTACAGTCACTGATCAGATGTCATAAAATAGATGCTTTGTAGCCACATTGATCTTGTACATCAGTCCCTTTTGTCTTATTTAATAAAGACGTAAAGTGCTTCCTGATCCAAGGAGCCACACTCAGAATTCAAACACTAGCTCCCCAAACCCTCATAACAACTCGGTGACGTGAGGTCCCTTACCGGCTTGGCCAGTAGCCAGCGTGAGACCCTGGGAAAGTTACTTAGCTCCTGAGTCCATGGTCATTTTTAAGGTGATGGTAACCGTCACTGATTCCTTCTCTGGTGCTCTTCTTTCCTCTATGTACATCCGAGCTTGTGACCTGTATCCTTCCCTTCCTCTCTTTTTTAACATTTGTTGCAGGGCAGATATACCAGCAACAGATCCTCTCAGTTTTTAATTGTCTGAGAAACACTTACTTCCCCTTTACTTTTGAAACATAATTTCCCAGGGTACAGAATTCTAGGTTGGTGAAGTTTTTTCTTTCCACACATTAAATATTTCAGTAGAAGGGCAGGGCACAGACACACACACACGCGGCCTGAAAAGAGTGAACCTGAAGACTAGGAGAGCTGAGTGGAGAGGGCCACGTGGCAGGAGCTAGGACCCTCAGGGGACAGGCAAGACGGGCCATGGGATCGGCACCCTGGCCTCCACCCGCCTGCCTCTTGCTGGTCCCCACTGGTGCTGTCCCTGGACAGGATCCAGCCACAGGCCATTGGGCAAACGAACCCTCCAACTTCATCCCTACAGGGTGGCCTTGGGGCGACGGGCGGGGCAGAGAAGGGAGGGCAGGAGAAGGGGGAAGCACAGCCTTCAGGACCCTCACTTTCTGTTTACTGCTGAGACGGCCCTTGCATCCGGCCCAGCCCAACCTTTCTGATTTCTCTCTCCTCTCTTTCTTCCCTGCACCTGCCGTTATCCATTTACCACTGAACTCCCCAAACTTCGCATCTGCCAGACGTTTGTTCACTTTCGCTGTGAAATCATTGCTTTAAAGAGGATTCCTCGCTGAAAATGCATGTGCCCCCCTCTCCCTTCCTGCAGAGTCAAATCTTTCTTGCCCTTCGAAGCGACCAGCCCCCTTTCTCAACAGGCATCACGTGACCCTCAGCCAAGGGTGACCGCCCACCTCGGACATTTTCCCCTGGCCACTGAGCACGGCCACAGAGACCATCCCACGTCGTGCAGTTTGTACGTGCACATGATTCATCCCCCGACGAGACTGCAAGCTCTTTAGAGAATTGCTCTAAGTTTTGCGTTGCCCGTAGCAGCTAAGGAGGCTTTCTGGGGAGTGCACACTGGACTTCGAGCCCGAGAGCAGGGACAATGCCAGACTCATTTTTGCTTCCCCAGGTCTTGGTAGTCAACCTCTAGCACTGAGCGGGCGACTGCTTGCGGTTTGTCAAATAGACGACACTAAAATTACCAGCGAAAGAAAACATTATGTGCTTTTATTAAATTATTCTCTAAGTCGAGCAACTAATGGCTCCTCTGATTATAAAGAAGTTTACAGAGCCTGGGCATGAAATTGTCTTTCTTCATGTAAATATAATCATTGGAATAAAAACATAATTGGTTTTGAATAATGTTAAAAGTCTCACCGTGCTAACAAAATATTGAAAGTCAATTATCGTTGTTTGATGTTAAATAGTCGACCAGCTTCCTAGCACTGGAGATAAAGGAAAAAGTTCACTTCGTTTCATGTTTGAGTAAACGCAGGAAGATGGAGGCTTTTCCTTTTTCCTGCATAGGGCCACGGACGGGGTGACTCAGAAAGCGCGGAAAGGCCTGGGGTAGTGACGACCGAGGGACAGATCTGAGGAGGAAAGTCGTCGCCCTGAACCTGGCCCGAACCAAACCAGTCCCGAGGCGTCTGTCTCCAGACTTAACATGCTTACTGCTTAAAGCCAGTGCTGACGGGGTTTCAGGCCACACGTATTCTGAACTTCATGGGTAACAGAGGGGACGACCAAAGTCCCCAACCCTGTTTCGTGAAATGAATTCCAACTATATGAGAAAAAATTTGTATTCAAGAAACTGAGGGACCCTCCCCAAAGTTTACATTCCTGTCAAAAATCCTGACAGTTATTGGCATCGTCGAGTCTGCTACCAGCTACGCCCAAAAGCTTCCCACCCCCCGAATGATCAGTGGCTTGAGGAACGA